GAGTTACTGGCTGACTGCAGTGTTACTTGCTACAAAGGCATCTGCAGTTTACCCTATTAGCACTGGTGTTATGTGCTGTATGAGATGGGGAAAGTTTAAAAGGACCCGAGATAAGGGATTCAAAATGCGGAGCTGTGTTTCTCTACAGTCAGCTTAGCAGGAGGGCAGAAAACTCAACAATCATAATTTTCATGCATTTATTTACAAAATAATACAAACACTGATAGCTCCTTGCTAAATCAATAATCATCCAGCTGTAAACCCACATGATTTCAGTGAATTAATGAAGCAAAGGGACAATTTTTGATCTGTAACATTCAATCTGTTTATGAAAGAAAGGAGAGAAACCCAATGAGATGAAAGGTGTGGAGAGGCAAGGAGAACAGGGAATACAGACAGACAAGAGGCATACCTGTCTTGTTCCCGTCTTGGTCCGGAAAGCGTCCTGTCCAGCAGCAGCACAGCTCGTGCAGAGACTGTTACCTCACCTCTCAGTCTCTCAGCCCTCCAACAGCTGAGATGCACCTCAGCTTTGGCTGCTTGCACAAATCCAAGGCTTTGGTTGCACAGCTCTTCTAGCACTGCTGCTGTGCCCAGTGACCGCTGTCCGTGTCTGTTCCGCGTACTTTGGACTCACACAAGGGGCAGCCAGGTCCCATCTGGAGAGAAAAGCTGACAGGTTTCTGCAGAGTTCAGAGTGGAAGCAGAAAGTGAGGTGTAAATCTCTCCTGTTTCCTTCCAGTTCCCTGCTCCGACCCCTGGCCCCAGAAAAGCACAGCCTTAGGACCTTGCTTGCTGCAGATAACTCCGGCTTGTTATACTCTGTTTGGGGCAGCACAGGGAACAACAGACCATAACCACAGCAGTGCAGCTGTGTCTGTCAACTCCTGGAGCGCTGCAGCTGGCACAGCATTCTGTAAGCACTCTGCCTTGTGGCCATGGCATTACTATGCTCTTTTTGCCATCAGCCCATGATGAAAGGGTCGCATTTGCCAGGGAGCTGGGGACATGGCTAACTGGCTAACCTTAATTTGGGGCACCAAGATTTACTCCTAAGGGTTTGGCTGTCAGAGTTCCTCCTGCTCCATTTCTACCCTCAAGCTGCAGCTCCAAGGTCAGCAGAGAGATTGCTAACAGCCATCTATATCTTTGAAGCCAAGAAGCTCCACATGCTGATCAGAAAAGGTGACTGCATGTTTGCCATGTTGCCCCTGGGGGTTCAGCTCATGTCTGTTGGTGACAAGCAGACACTGAAAAGGAGATGCTAACCAGCTCCTGCAGTGGTCATTTCCACTGAAAAAATGTTCCCCCAAATAGTGAATCTGCTCTCCACCTCACAGCAAAGGGAGACCTGCATTCTGCAGGAGGACATTGTAAAAAGCTTGTTGGAACACAGGCAACAAAATCCTATCAGAAAGTGAATGAACAGCCTGAAAGGGATTCCCTAGCCAGGTCACAATGCTGCAGAGGAGGGTGACAGCAACTAGTTTGTGATTCGCATCAGTAAATTTGCCAGGAGTGTGCAGGCAAAATTTCCAGCTCAGGAAGCAAACCTCATCCTGAGGAGGAATGTTTCTCTCATAACTGCCTGCCTGTATTACTGTTTTGTTAGGGCATAAAGCTGATTTCCAGAGCACCAGTGAATGTTTCCAAACCCCTCAGCACTCCTCGCCACAAAGGTACTCTGGTTATGTCTGGGTGATTAATTGCATTCCCCTGGCTCAGCTCACAAGTGCGCAGTACCTTTCCCTCACAGTCAGACACAGCCTGCACAGCTCCACACACCACTGCCATAAACCTTGAGACCTCAGAGGTTCAGTGACTTCAGAGCTTCATTTGTACATGTATGGGTTGGGAGAGGAACTCAGGGAGAGAAGGCCGTCAGGGTTCTGGTGGACGAAGAGCTGGACGTGAGGCAGCAGCCTGCGCTCGCAGCCCCACAGGCCGACTGCATCCTGGGCTGCAGCAGCAGAGGGGGGGCGGCGGGCAGCGAGGGGATTGTCCCCCTCTGCTCTGCCCTCGGAGCCCCCAGCTGCAGTGCTGCATCCAGGCCTGGGGCCTGGCACAGCAAGGGGGGGAGCTGTTGCAGCGGGGCCAGGGCAGGCGATGAAGATGCTCGGAGCTTGGAGCAGCTCTGCTGTGCAGACAGGCTGAGGAGCCGGGGCGTGCAGCATGGAGAGGAGAAGGCTGCAGGGAGACCTCATTGCGGGCTTAAAGGGAGGACTTAAAGGGAGCCTATGAACAGGAGGGGGACCAACTTTTTACAGCAGCAGACAGTGAGAGGACGAGGGAAATGGTGATTTGAAGAAGTAAATACACAATATATTTTGGCAGCATATCCTTATGATGTACGATGTAGATGTTGAATTGTTGTATAATATGATTAATTCTTGCTTGCAAAACTGTAATAGCTTTTAGATGTGAGTAGTTAATTACAGGCATAGTGTTATAGACTAGAAAGCATTTTGTAAGGCTGTTCTGCTTTAGCCAGGGATCTCCAGCAGAAGAAACACAATAATGAAAAGGCACAATCAGGCTTATCAAACATCGAAGAAGATAGGGCTGAATTGCTCCATTCTGGGGGAAGCTTAGAATGCAACATGTGGGTGTTAAGATACTCCCGCTATCCTCCTTATCTTCCTATTTCCCAGTAGATCACTGAAAGACAGGATGCAATCTCTATCCCAGAACTAATAGATGTGTGGACAATAATGGCTGCGTAGGCAAATGTTACGATTTTGGTACCTGTAAATTGCTTGTAATAGGTGTTCTCCTACTGAACACGCGTCAATGAAGAGAGTTCAACTAGAGGGCAAGCGGCAAAGAACATTGGAAGAAGCAACCGACTGAGCTGTCATGGAGCTGAACGGACACTGGATGGCAGCAGAGATCGTGGAATAGAGGGCTGAAACCCTTGTAAGTCACTACCGGAGACAGGCGCCTATCTGTTCATTATCTCGTGAAGGAATGACGAATATGTACTATCTGTGAACATATAAGGAACTCCTAAACATGTAATCTTAAAAGCTCTTATGGTGGAATTAACCCCCAGTGCTTCCTGGTGCAGCTAAAAAAGAATACCTGCTTAACAGTGTTGGAAATATCCAAATAATTTTTGTCAGGACGGTATAAGAGCAGATTTTATTCGCGATTGCAATGGCGGGCATCCCGCAAGCACGAGCACACCTATGGACACATCATGACAGCCTTTATACCCTGTTTTCTTCCCCTTGCCTCCCCCCCTCCCCTGTTTCCCCACTGGCTGGGTACTCCAGGTTCACAATCTTACAGAAGGTTTACATTTGCTATTTACTTGTTAATTTATTTGTTACCTGGTGTCAGTCAGCAGCCATCCTGTTGTTTCCAAGATGTCTTATCGGTGCTCTCCTTGCCGTATTGATATGGTGATTTTCTTTAAAGTCTTCAACAAAGAGCACGGGGATGATGCCAGGCCTTCCAATGTCTCTTCTGGCGCTTCCTCGGGAAGGCCATCACTTGTTCTCTGGTTTGTTCTCGTGCAGGATATTCTTGCAGTGTGTGACAAAATATACAGACATACACCTATATACAGAGTGCGCGTTCCTGGGAATGTTCGTCTAGAGGATAAGTGCTGTAAACTATCAGAGATCTTCCCCAAGTTAAGTAGAAGGACTCCCAAGAATTACAATGATAGCGGAGATCATGAAATAAAAAAATTATCCAATTCTAATGCAGAAACAACATTTGATTCCCACAACAGCAAGAAAACTTTGCTGGATTGAAATGGATTGAAACTAAAAGAGGGGAAATTTAGGTGAGATGTTAGAAGAAAATCCTTCCCTCAGAGGGCAGAGAGGTGCTGGCATTGCAGCCCAGAGCTGTGGGTCCCCATCCCCGGGGGCTCAGAGCCATGGCTGAGCCTGGGGCAGCTGGAGTTGGGGGACAGGGTGGGGCTGTGAGGGCCATTCCAACCCAACGTGCTGAGATTCTGGGGTATGATTTGTGATTGACCAATATCCCACTAATACTGTGACAAATCCCACTGATAGTTGGCAATTGCTGTAGGGTTAAATGAGTCCTGAAGGCTTGCCAGGAACCAAGTTTTATGTAAGTCACAAATGACACCTCCTGTTGTAAATTGTAAAGAATCCCACCAATTTACACCAGTGTACACACTTTCCCCTTCTGCAGCCCAGCTGGACTCTGGTTGCCAGCAGCACAACAGCCATGCTCCCAGCAAGGCCTCCTGTGCCATCACGCCTCGCACTGTGTTCTCCACATTGCACACTGCACTCCGGAGCCGCTGAGCAGCAGGCAGCCCTCAGGAGCCACGCAAAGTGTGGGTCTTTGTTCTGGCACTGCAGCCTTTGCCCCTGGAACTGAATTTCTGAGGACAGAAGTGATGAGGACAGGAGGCGGTGGTGCTGGGTCACAGCCTGGCTGCCTTGCAGTGACACAGGCTGGGTGCCATGTCACAAACCCGAGATAAGCTTTACACACACACGCTATCCATACTCATTATATTTCTTAGAAGCAATTAACATTTTTCAGGTACTCATTAATGCACGGTAATGTCGCATGGTAGAGGGTAGAGCCCTTTGGAGGCCGATCAGCCCTTCCTTCATCCATCATCTTCCTCTTTGCGACACTCGGCCGCCTTCCTTCTTGCTTTTGCTAAGCCGGTTCCCCCAAAGGTCGTCTTTGCTCCCGTAGCATCAAGCAATTTGCTTGCAAAGTCCTCGCACGCACCAAGTAGATTACGGAGACGTCCACCGAGCCTCTACCGAGCAGACAAAGCGAGCTCTGCTAACGAAAGCAAGCGCCGCACACCCAGCGCAAGGAGCCCGCACCCAGCGCCGGGAGAGAGCGCAGGGACAGGCGGCGCTGAGGGCGGCGCTGAGGGCGGCGCTGAGGGCGGCGCTGA